ATAGTGGCCTGTGAGCGAAGAACAATTTTTACATTTTTAAATGGGTGGGAAAAATGTTAAAAACCAGCCACATTTCAAGACAGATAAACATTATATGAAATTCAAATATCAGTGTCCATAAATGACATTTTATTGGAACACAGCCATGCTTATTCATTCATGCCCTGTCTCTGGCTGCTTGCACACTACTGCACCAGCAGGGTGAGCAGTTACAACACAGACCACAGGGCCCACAAAGCCTGAAATACTTACTCACTGGTCTCACCTAAGAACATTCCTTTCATTGCTTTTAGAGAGAGAGGAAGGAAGAGAGAGAAACATCAATGTGACAGAGAAGCATAGATTGGTTGCCTCCCACATGCGTCTGGACCAGTGGTCGCATGTGCCTGCACCTGAACCAGGGATCAAACCTGCAACCTAGGTATGTGCCCTGACCAGGAATCGAACCTGCAACCTTTCAGTTATGGAACAATGCTCCAACCTACTGAGCCACATGGACCAGGGCAATTTACTCACTGGCCTTTACAGAGAACGTTTGCCAATCCGCTCTCTCCTGACCCCACCTCCTCTAACATCCCCCATGACTCCTCTGTCCTTGCTCCCTTTTCTCCAGCCAGACTAACCTCCTTGCTATTGTTCCTTTAATACGTCAGAAATTCTCCTTCCTTAGGACCTTGCACTGGGCTTTCCCTCTGCAGGCAACACTGTCCCCAGGCAGCCACAAGATAGCACTGCCCCCCAGACAGCGGACATCTTCACTTCCTCCACCTCCTTGCTCAGGTCCTTGGAGGGCCCACAATAAAATGAGAGCGCAGGACCTCATGTTCAAAAATTATTAAGAATTGCAAGATGTCAACGACAGAGCATGAAACCGAGTGCGTAGGTCATGCACTGAAGGAACTGGCTCTGCTCACAGATCCTCTTGTCAGCGGCCTACACGACCACCCCACCTGAAACTGCAACTCCTCACCATCAGCCTGCAGGCCCCCTACTCTCCTTTACATGTTTTTAAAAGCAACGTGCACTTTTAAACATTTAAAAAAAGATTTTAACTTATTTTTAGAGAGAGGGGAAGGGAGGAAGAAAGAGATGGAAAGAAACATCGATGTGAGAGAGAAACCAATCTGCTGCCTCTCACACATGCTCCAGCAGGGGACCAAATCCACAACCCAGGTACGTGCCTTGACTGGGAATCAACCGGGGACCTTTCGCTTTGCGGGATGCTGCCCAGCCAAGCCACACCAGTCAGGGCTCTCCTTTACAATTTTTATAACACTTTTCAGCATCCGACATATAATATGGTATATGCATCAATATATTTATTATTTAATATTTGTCTCCCCTTGCTCAAAATGTAAGCTCCATGTGGACAGGGATTTTTGTCTGTTTTCTTCACTACTGTATGACACATACATAAGGCTCATGCCTGGAATATAGTAGATGCTCAATAAGTAGTTGCAATACATTTTTTTGAAAAAAAGTATGTGAAATTCAGCAATTATCCCACTCTTATTTTGTTTTAGTTTTCTTATCTTAAACTCAAATAAAATTAAATATACAATTTTTGTTGGAAAAAACATTTCTACTATAATTTACAAAATTATTTCTGCCTGGCTATCTATTTCTTCACTTATACATAAAATGGCTAATGGTTACATAATATTTATAGGTATTAAGAAATACGAGGTCTGTCAAGAAAAAGTCCAGCCATTAGTAATATAATGAGAATGGTTCGCTCAGTTTGTGCGACATCGATGTACCCTGGCAGCCAAGGACAGGGGACTGGAATGCACGTGTGTGAACAACGATGACTTCACTATGCTAATCAGTTGGGGCAGTAGATGCTGCTGAGTGAGCATGTGTACTGTGTGGCCGTCACATTAAAAAATGACTACATGAGTAGAGCAATGAATATGCATCAAATTTTGCATTAAGCTTGAACATTCCTCCATAGAAACTATTCGGGTGACTCAGAAGGTCACAGCTATGGGCAACTAGTGATTGGCAGCTTCATCACAACAACCTGCCCACTCACACATCACGTCTCATGCAGTTTTTTGGTGAAACCTCAAATCACCCAGGTGACCCAGCCCTGCTACAGCCTAGATTTGGTGTCCTGTGACTTCTGGCTTTTCCCAAAACTAAATCATCTTTGAAGAGGAAGAGATTTCAGACCATTGATGAGATTCAGGAAAATACAACGGGGAGCTGATAGCGACTGGGAGAACTATGTGAAGTCCCAAGGTGCCTATTTTGAAGGGGACTGAGACATCACTGTCCTATGTACAGTGTTTCTTGTATCTTGTATTTTCTTCAATAAATGTCTCTATTTTTCATATCATGTGGCTGGATACCTTCTGGACAGACCTCATATAGTTGATGAAATTGACTACAGGGAATTATAGTTCCTTCTAGGGAACTATAGTATTTTTGACTCTTTAATTATGTACAGGTGTTATATTGAACAAAACTAAAATTTAAATTTAAAAAAGAAATAAAAGCTGAGAATTTTTTAAAAAGATATGCATCCTCAGATTGAAAGTGAACATTCAGTACCAAGCAGAAGAAAAAAAATAAAACCACACTTAAACATGAAACTAAAAATGAGTTAAAATAATGGAAGTGCAAGACTTCAAGTATGAAGAGAAATGGTAAAAGTTACCAAAGAAAGAGGGTAAAAAGTAACAAGGATTAAATTGACATGGACCTTGATAAAGTTTCTTATCGTCAAAGCTCCCAACGTAAGCAGAACATTCCTGACTATTAGAGGGATGATTATGGTGGTAAACTTGGACAAAGTTAGAAAAGCAGCTCATCCTCTATAGTTTCCTCCTGTTGGGTTTATCCAGCCTGATACGCTCACTTGTGCAAAACCTTGTAAGTGTCGAGGAATCTCTGTCTTCCTAGACCTGCACCCACCCCCCCAGGAGCTCTCTCTCTTGGGAGGACTTTATACTAGCTAGACTGAGAATTTTCTTGAAGTCCACTAGAGTAAGGGTGCTGTTCACTGAAATACACTTACCAACTCCACTTCTTGTATCTCTATAGTCTGTCATCGGTGGCCGTCCACTGTCTTTGCATACTCCCTACACTGATAATTTCTGCTTAATGACTCCCACCTTCCCAGGTAAGAGTCAGAACACTCACATTTCCTGTCTCACTCACTGCTAGGGAGCAGGAGTGAACCTAGGCTCTGCCCACACGTTTGAGCCTTGGATTTTACATTAAGTGACATGAGAGACAGCCACATGCAGTGGGGAAGACTTGTCCTTCCAGGGCAGCAGTGCTGAGCTGTGGCATCAGCTCCTGAGTCATTGGCTGTAAACGGTGAGCTGTGTAGTGTCATAACTCAAGCCACTCCTAAGTAAAGAGTGGCCCTTGCTTTCAGCCATCTTGACCTTCCAGAGAGTCTGGGAGCTAACAAATACCTCTTACAAAGTTCCATTTCTGCTTACATTAGCCAGACTATAATTTGTTATTAAAAACAAAGACCCCTGGCCATGTATGAAAAGTGTGGCCGTTTATCATGTCCAATGGCGAAACGCTGATAGCTTTTTCTCAGAGATCAGTAATAAAGCACAGATGCTCTCTTTTCCCACTTGTATGCAACATAGTAGTGGAAGCCTTAGCCAGAGGAATTAACCAGCAAAAAATAAATAAAATTCTGTACAGCAAAAGAGATAAGGGGTTAACACCCAAAGTACATAAAGAATTCATACAACTCAGTAACAAAAAAATAATAACCCAATTTAAAAAAATGGGTGGAGGAACTGAATAGACATTTTTCCAAAGAAGACATCCAAATAGTCAACAGGTACATGAAAAGATGCTCAACAACACTAACCATCAGGACAATGCAAATCAGAAGCACAATGAGCTGTCACCACACACCTGTTAGAATGGCTGTCACCAAGAAGACAAACAATAACAAGTATTGACAAGGATGTGGAGAAAAGGGAACCCTTGTGCACTGTGGTGGAAACATAAATTGGGGCAGCCACTGCAGAACAGAGTACAGAGGTTCTCCAAAAAATTAAAAAACAAAACTGCTATATAATCCAACAATCCCACTTCTGGGTATACATCCAAAGGAAACGAGAACACTGTGTCAGGGAGCTACCTGTACCGCCGTGTACAGAGCAGCGATATTTACCATAACCGAGGTCTGGAAGCAACCTAAGTGTCCATCGATGGGTGAATACAACCTCCAGTCTTTAAAAGTTATTTCAATTATTAAGTTGATTTTGAATCATAAAGTTTAATTTGGGGAGATTTAGTTCAAGAAGTTGACCTACAACCTCCAAACTTTTACACAGGCCAGGTCTCTCACTTTATATCGCCTTCCCAGAAAACCCCATTTCCTCTGCCTCACCATTTCTCCTGATCCTCCCAAATCCTGCTCAAGCCTACATTGTCTCTTATTTTCACACATAAATTACCTCCAACTCATAACTATTGCACCCCTTGAACATTTAGAAATGTTTCTCTAAAGCCCTGGTTTTCAACCTTTTTCATCTCGTGGCACATAGACTAATTACTAAAATTCTGGGGCACACAAGATACACATATGATATTTTTGCCAATCTAACAAAATATAGGTATAATTTTTATTCATTCACACCGGATGGCTATCATCATGTTGGCTATTGTCATTTTTTAAGTTGACAATCTCAGGTAAAAGAGGTCAGTGCCCCTGACTGAATAGTCAGTTACGTCATGCTTTAAAAATTCTCGCGGCACAGCAGTTGAAAATCGCTGCTCTCGAGGAGTGTGGAGAGACATGTTTGTTTATGGGTCATTATTATCTGAGTCTGACATCCTTGTCTGCTCCCATTCTCACCCTAGTACATGCTGAATCCCTCTGCTCCTGCCACTCAGCACCCAGGAAAGAGCAGTACGTGCTATGGGTGCTCACCATAGAACCCATGCGGCTGGCGGCTGGCGGGCGGAGCTCCAGTATTGTACTTTGTTGGGAGACTGGGCTTAATTATATCAAAGACCTGCCAGAAAAGAAGCAGAAGCCGCTGCAGGGGAGTGCTCCGCCCTTTATTGTGCAACAATTTCTGAGCTGGAGCAGCGGACACGATGTCTGGCCATGATATCACCAGTTGCAGCAGGAACAGGAGGCGTCAAAGGCCAGGCCAGGCGGGCAGCGCTGAAGGAAGGTCTGTCCGTTCGCGCAGTTGTAGAAGGCGTTTCTGTCAGTGGGGTCGGGGTACAGGCCGCTGGCCCTGTTGGCACAGAATCCGCTGCCACTGGGGCTGTCCCCTGAGCTGCCACTGCTGCCGCCGCGGCCGCCCCCGCCGCTGCCGCTCCCACTGCCGCCGCTGCCTCCACCTGTGCCGGGAGCCTCGGTGATGGGAGCAATGGGCTGGGCTGGGGCTTTGCAACCTAAAAGAAAGAAACCAGATCTTGAGCCCCCTGCTTTTTGTTAGTGTGTCTGATGTATGAGAATTAATATCCTGGATTTTGTCCTTAGCTCCTCCTTCCATGACTCTGCATGTTTCAGTCTTCCTTCTCTTCTCTGCTTATCAACTCCCTGTTCATCCTTTAAGGAATAGTTCATTTTTTCCTCCTTCCTAGATCATCCCAATGCTTCGGTGCCTGACTGTCCTGAACTTACAGGGAAGTTTCTTATCCTTTTTCTGGTACTTAAGCATAGAATGTCTTCTGGGTTGTTATTTACCTTTGTGACTGCACCAACACTATCTCTCTAATTAGACTGCAGCCTTCTGTAGAGTAGAGGTTGTGAGTTTTGTATTCGAGATCCCCTGCTTAGTTCTGAATGCTTAATAGATGTTCAAAACCTTGCTTGTGAAATTAATAATGGATAAAAGGTGTGGTGAAGAACCCCATTTGTTTTCCCCACTGCTATTGAATCATCACCAAATATGAATGGAGCAATACTCATAAAATCACTTGAACAGCAGGTCTCTGACTTTCAAGGAGGTTTTGAAATTTCTCTCAAGTTGAGGCTTAGGGTCCCTTCTCACCCCCAACTCACTTGCATTCTGCAGGCCCAGGGCCTCCTTCAGGGTGGTGGTCAGGGGGAATCTGCCCTCGTTACAGAAAGTGCCCGTGAAGTCATCCAGGTCGATGGCCCAGATCATGGCGCCTCCAAAGTTGTTCTTCTTCAGCCACTCAGCCTGTGGTAATTAGGGAGAAATCCAATGACGTGCAGACATCAAGGCCTACTTGGGGCCCTAGGGCTGCAGGACGGAACAAACCGACGGGCAGCACAGTCTACCTTGATTCTGAAGCTCTTGGTGTTGTCATAGCCAAGCCACTCATTGCCTTTGTAAGCGTAGGGGACGTCTTGAGAAGCCTCCCACACCTCAGTAGCTCCATTCTTCAGGAAGGTACAGATCTAAGAGGAGATGAGGAAGCTGTGCAGCAAGAGGAGAAAGGGTGTGGAGGAGGGGAGTAGGGAAGAGACACAGGAAAGCTCCTTGGAAAGAAAGGCCTAGAGCTCTATCAGCACATTTCTCAGTTCATGCAGGATTTTGGTTCTGTGTCCCATTTGGGAGAAGCTCTTAAATCAAAGAATGCCTTGCAGGCATTAAGAAGTGTCTATACATTGATATAATCTCATCGATGATATGCTTTTCCCCTATTCTCTCTGCATTTGGAATCCAGGCTAGCATGCAACAGGAGTGCTCATCTTGTCTCCTAAAATGAACCAGTGACTTAAGTGAGCCAAGAAGAGTCGAATTATTTACAGTCTTAAATCCCCGGCCTAGAGAAAGCCACTTTCCCCCTTCTCTCTAAGAGTTCCCGGAGCATACCTCATAGTAGGCCCAGAACCCAGACTGCCTGGTGTAGGGCCCAGCGGGGCCGGGACCGGTGGTAGGAGCCCCGATCCCATGGTTGGAGGGGTTGCTCAGGAGGAAGGTGTGTCCGTAGGTTGGGAATCCAACGATGAGCTTCTCTGCAGGGACACCGTTGTCCTTCCAGTAGCTCATGATGTAATCCTGCAATGGCAGCAGGTTGGCAAGAGCCCCCCACCCCAGGCCGATGGCTTAGACTTAGTTATTAGCATCTTTGGTCTGGTGGTGCTTGCTTTATACAGTAGTTTGGAGTGTCACTCCATACCTCTGTGGAAGTGGTATGTCTTTATCTAGCTGATTTCTTTCAATAATATGCCAATATGTCAGCTTTAGATAGACTTTTCTCAACAAAAATATATGAGTGGAGGACTTCTTTTTTTCATGATTTTTCTGGTATGATTGATTGGTGAATGTTGGAAATTCTATATGGCACACATGTGCGAAGGCTGGAATAGTAGAAATTAGACAAGGCGAAAGGGAACAGGAAGAGGGGAAAGATTGAAGAAGCATTGTGTAATTGATTGAAGTATGAGTAATGACCTCATTTTCTTTTATTTAAAAAGCATTGGTTAGTAATCTTTCCTATCTAATAAAATTGTCAGTTTAGTGTTAATTAGTTGGTGAGGTTTTTTGTTTGTTTGGTTGGGTTTTTTTTTTTTTTTTATAAATGGGAACTAGTTAATTCATGAGGGTAGCGTGATTTCCCATTGGAGAACATGACTAAATCTATGATGCCTCTTGTCCCCAAATCCCCACGTGATATGACACCATCCCTGGTCTGTATATGTGCCCATGTAGGGACTCACCACATTGAGGTAGGCGTTGCTGCCGGTATCAGCTGGGTATTTGTAGAGGGGGCTGTTTTCTCCTGTGTAGCTCTCCCAGGATCCATGGAGGTCATAGGTCATGACATGGATGTAGTCCAGGTACCTGGAGTCCAGGTAAAGGAGTTACTGTGATCTCTCAGGATCACCTCCCTCGCCCCTGCAGGCAAAGAAATCACTCCCAAAGCCTCCTCAACAAGGCCCCTGAACAGCAAGACAGGCTAAGGATGAGCGTCTCTTACACACATGGCACACAGAGGGGTTGTGGGACAAGGGATCACTCACTGGGACAGCTGGGGGATCTCGTAGCCAGCCTGGATGTTGGCGATGCCACCAGCTACCGCGGCGGTGACCATCAGCCTGGGCTTGTTGACCTGCTTGGCCTCCTGCTCAAAGGCCTCACGCATTTCCTACGCAAGAATAGGAGAATGTCTGTGAGTCTAACCTCTAAGCTGACTTTCATGACTACTCCTTGAATTAAATTTAAGTCATTTTCCATCTCTCACTCTTCAGCGTTCTCACTGGAATAGGCTATCCCAGCCCTCCATCTCCCCCCCGAGATCGCAGGGAGCTAGGCTTTCTGCACAGCCTCAGTCATCAGTCATAGGAGATGGCTTGTGTGCTTTCCAGAAACCAATACAAAATAATATCGACTGCAAACTGGAATTTAATGATGAAATTTAAACGTAAAGAAAATGGCATGGAACGCTCCCCACCTGCACCAGGACGGTGAAGAGATGCCTGTCCTGAGGCGGGCTGCCCCGGGAGCCGGGGTACTCCCAGTCCAAGTCCAGCCCGTCAAACCCGTGCTCCCGCAGGAATCTGATGACCGAGGTGATGAAAGTCTGGCGGTTCTCAGGAGTGGAGACCATGGCAGTGAAGCTGAGGGAGACCCCAAGAAGGCAGGGTGAGGGCACGCCGTCGCGGTCCCCACGTCTGGTCGTCACGTCGGTGTAGGAAGTCACCTTGAAAAACTTACGGGGCAGTTCCAAAGTTCCAGCCGCCGATAGCCAGGAGAGTCTTCAGTTGACTGTTCCTGGAGGAAAAGAAGCAAAATGTGTGTCAGGACAAATGGAAGTAAGATAAATCATTTCACCATTAGCTGTTCTCATGAGTGAGAGTCCAGGAGACATTTCCTTCAGCCTCTCAGGCTGATTTCTTCCTTCTCATCCTTTCTTCTTAAACTGAGAGCAGAGGGAGGGGCGCCTAAGGCTGGTGCTTTCAGGGCGTGCCTGCTGTTCCAGTCGCTCCCCACGCAGGGAGGACACCAAGGACACTGGGGGCTTCGTCAGCACAGCTTTGGGTTGCTTCCCAGTGGAAGACTGTTCTCATCTGAGTCCACAGCACTTGGCCTCTTCTAAATTTCCCTCGGCAACTGAGCTGGACTCCGTGGCCAACCCCTGTCCTTAAGCGAGAGTCATTGTAAGAAAGCTCAGAATGGACCTGCGTGCTGCTTGTCGCCCTGTTTGGAATTTCACCCGGGAGGCCACTGTGGAAGGTTTTGTTCAAACTATTCTCAAAGGTTAAAAGGCGTTAAACTTCAGATCTTTCAGCCCTTACTTGTTTTTCAGGTCGTTGAAAGCCTGGTAGAGGGTCAGGTCATTCCACTCGATGGTGGTGATCTCGTTGTTTCTCATCCCCGCAAAGGCGTAGATCAGGTGAGTACAGAGGCAGGGATCGACGTCCTCGGGCTTGAAGCGCCCCAGGCCCGGCCGGTACTGGGCCCAGTTGGTGAAGTAGCATGTCAGCTGGTAGGCAGAACCTGACACCAGGAGGAAGAGGGTGAGACACAGTTACAGAGCAAGATCCTTGGCTGTGTAAGAAACCACAAACGTACAAATAACTTCCCTACTGAGTCTCATGGGGACAGGGACACAGGAGATCTGCTTGAAATCTTCGTGTGTTGCAGCAAACCCATAATTAGCAGATAATTCAGGGCTGAAGATCTCTCTCAGAGGTAGCTCTGTCCCTCAAGAGGATTAAAGAGCCTTAGAAATCAGTGCCCTTTGCTGAAATGAAATCGTAAAGCTGCAAACTCTGACTTAAATGTACTCTAGCTCCCTCTGCATGCTAATACTAGCAATTGCTAATGCTCACTCAGCACCTAGGTACCGAGCATTGCTCTCGGCAATTTATTTTCATTCATTCATATACGTCACCAAGACCCTATGAGGTAGGTATCATTATCACTATTCCCATTTCACTCATTTGGAAACTATAACCCAGAAAGGATGACTGTTTGCTGAGCTCTTGTAGCTCTCTCCCCAAGTAATATCAACTGCAAACTGGAATTTTTTACTGGAAGTAATAACTTCACTCAGAGGGAAATGAACCATCCACTCGGATTTGAGTCCTGATTTCAGGTTTAGATTCTGCTGTGGCCTCCCTGTATTTCCTGGGACATGTCACAGGACGAGTCATTGCTGCCTTAGCTCGCTGGCCTGTGAGACGGGGTGGTAATGTTCTGTCCTCCTCTTAGAGAAGAGTTATTTTAAACGCTCAGAAGGTGACCGATTTGAAAATGCTTTAACGGAGCTGAAGGCACCATGGAGAGGCCTCGCTGTGTTACTTTTTGTTATCATGTACTGGTAAGATCACCGTCGAGTCAGTTTTGGCTTTGGGATTTTTAGGCCAGCGATCCCAGTCCTTTAACTTGGTCAGGGAACTTTGAACTCTCTAAGATAACAAATGAATAGCCTTTGTTTTATGTAGCAGGACAGAGGGCCATGCTGAGTTTCCAAAGGATGAAAAGAGGAACGTTAATGGTGGGCCGTCCCAAGGAGAACGCATACCTGCCTCAGCCGTCAGCACGAGGAGCAGACCTTAAGGCAACGGAGAGAGTCGTGAGCCGGAGGAACGCACCTGCAAACGCGGCCGCCTCCAGTGCCGTGTTTGTTTGCAGTAGGAAGGGCTTCCTGGGTTTTACTCTCTGAGTACTTTTAACACTCTCTGTAGCCTCCCAACCTACTGAGGCTGACAAAGCATCAGGGTTTCTCCTAAAGCCCCTCCCTGCTACTCCGTTCACAAGACCACTAAAGTGTCGTTGGTCTTGAGGCTCGAGGGAGAGGGGCTTCCGGGCTGTGGGGACCTTATGACCAGGGGAGGAACTGGGCTTTGCCCAAAGCAATGATCTCAGGCAATCTGGTTGAGTTCAAAGGTAAAAGAAAGTTTTAAAGGGGCAGAAAAACAGGAGTGGGAGTTGGGGGCTTGGAGGGCGGCGGGCTGGGTGGTTCGCAGGACAGAGTGGCGGTGGGTCCTTACCAGTGAGGAGGGTGAGCTTGGTCATCTTGCCTCAGTGGTAATAACTCCCTAGTTCAACCTGCCTTTTATAGCCCCTCCCACCCCTCCCCTGCGTGACTCATCAGATTCTCCTGGATCGAGATTGCCTCTAAAGTCAATGTTGACAGGGGTAGTGCTCCAAAACCTGAAGGCCATTTAAGACCCATTGTTGACAAGAGAACTCAATTATCTTGATTTCTCTTTACGAGAAGAGAAGATCGGACTCAAGCCCAGAAACCATACTAACAAGCTCCATTGTGGAATAACTCACATAATTCAACATGGCTTGTGTACAAGGGCTACTGTCTCTGCTTGGATGGCAAGTGATTGGTTATTTCACACTCAGGTATTCGTAGCAAATGATTTCCATGGTCCCTTCCAGAGACAGGTTAACATGCTCTCACTCTGTCTCTCTCTTTCCTCTGTGCCTTCGCTTCTGGTGCTAGAACACTTAACAATCCTTTTAAGTAGCATAAATATCCAGATTCTCAAACTTCCTATGTATGCTTTGCTAGAATTTATTTGCCTGAAAACTAGTCTGCACTCTGAAAGTTTTCCTTCCTTGCTTCCCTTTTCACGATTGTTTTTTGCCCCAAATAGGAGAGGAAATAATTTAAAACATGAGTCAAAAAGGATTTAGCTCCTTCTCTTCGATGAGGCAGGTGATCAGCAGATGTAGAGATGCAGGTCTTCATGAAGCCCTGATGGGCAAACTCGCTGCCCTTGAGGTTGAATTAAGCCTGGTGACACCCTCGAGAATGTTGAAGCCCAAATTTAAGCCAAGGAGGACATCCTGCCTAACCGGTAGCATCTGAATTTTGTGAGTGAACAATTGGAGAATGACCACCCTCACTCAGACATTGACATCCAGAAAAATTTCACCCTGAACTTGGTGCTCTGCCTGCCAGGTGGCATTACTGAGGCTTCCCTCCGCCAGCTCACCCAGAAATGCAACTTCAACAAAATAATCTGTCCCAAGAGTTTCCCTCACCTGCACTCCTACGCCGTCAAAGGTCACAAGCCAGCACCAATGTAAATATATATATATATTTAAACCTAAATACACCAGTAATTCCATTAAATATAAATGGGCTAAATACTCTAGGTTGCTAATCTATTTTCTTGTTTAAAAAATGCTTAAGCATCCCTGACTGGTGTGGTTCAGTGGGTTGGGTGTCATTTACAAACCAGAAGGTCACTGGTTTGATTCCCGGTCAGGGCACCAGCCTGGGTTGCGGGCCGGGTCCCAGTTGGGGCTCATGCAAGAGGCAGCGATCGGTGTTTCTCTCACACATCTCTCTTTCTCCCTCTCTTCCCCTCTGTCTAAAAATAAATAAATAAAATCTTTAAAAAAATGTTTAAGTACACACTGAGAGTGTTCCCATAGCATATGGGAAACCAGGTAGGAAGCAATTTTTAAAAAATGTTTTTCTAGTAAAGGGTGAGTCACAAATTGAAAGGAAAGGAAGGAAAGAGGCACAATTCCTGTCTCCCACAATCCTGCACTTGGAGTGAATACCACGGGAATGCTCTTGGATCAAACCTTTCATTGGTGTTCATTCCCCTGTTCAGTGACGACCCAGTGAGTGACTCCATTGTATCAGGTAGCATGTGAGTTGAGTACTGGGCTGTATGAGTAAACAAGACACTTGTGCAGAGAGATAAATAAAGTATGATCTGGTGAATGAAGTGCTACAGGATAAGTTAGTCCAGAGTAACTGTTTGAACCAAACAGAAAGGAGTCCAGCTGTGTGAGTGCGCAGTTAGGCAACTGGATTTGAGGATTCCAAAGAAATGGTCCGAGGAGGGTGGAGAGATTAAGGAAACCCTTTTGGAGAAGCTTGCTCTTGGAATTCCCAGCCTGGGCTGGGAACGAAAGGGTGTCTCATGGTGGGGCTGAGCCAAGGGCGTGGGGTAAGATGGGGACACGGGAGCCACACCTCGGGCTTTGAGGTGCATTTCCAAGCTGCGTGACCTCAGGCCACCTCTCCGCCTCTCTGTGACGGGCTCCTCCCAGTAAAGTGGGAATGATCACCATGACAACCTCAGGGCATCTGTAGGCTGATTCAGCAAGTTGATGTTTAGCGAGGGCCCCCGGAACACTCCGTAAGTGGGGGTGATGTACACAGAGCAGCAGGGAGGGCCTCGGAGCGAGGACTGGGGGGACACCAAGCGCGGCTTCCTTCCCGGCACAGCCAGGGCAAGGCGGTAAGGAGCCACTCGTGTGTGCAGCAGACTCCTGAGACAAAGACAGCCACCAGCCACACGTACAAATGGCTGAAGTGCAAGCCCCCGGGACCACAGAGGGAAACCGTGCGCCAGAGATGGTGTAACGGCTGTGAAATGTGTGCCAAATATGTCAAATCCGTGAGAAATTAAGTCCAAGTATTCATTTCGTAATTAGCTTACAAAATGGCTAGGTCAGCACTTGGCACACATCTGGGGACTTCTTTTCTGCTGACTTATGAGGACATTCGGTACATAATGGGGCATCTGATCAATGCCTCCGAGTCCCTTCGCTTAGTTCATCATCCAAACCCAGGCGTGTGTGAAAGTGAAAGGGGCATTGGAATCATGTAATTTTCAATATACTTATTTTTTATTGCTATTTGGCTATACAAACAAACTTATCAAATAATTCTATTAAAATTATTTTCAAAAAAAGTTTTTCTAAATAGCAAAAATATATAACTGCATAGTAATCCAAAATTTAAAATTCCAAGTAATTAATCTTGCTACATATTCACACACTTTAGCTTCTTAGCCATATCTCTGGCATTCTTCTGAACACTGGAATTTTTTTTTCATAGTATTGCCTGAAATCTTCTTCAATGTTGCTTTTCATGGTTAATCATTTCAAAAATGCAGATAACTTCTGTGTCAGTTTGCTCGGGCTGCCTGTAACCAACGCCACCGACTGAGTGGCTTAAACAACAGAAATGTATTTCCTTGCTGTTCTGGAAGCTGCAAGTCTGAGATCGGGGTGTCTGCTGGGTTAGTTTCTTCTGAGGCCTCTCTCCGTGGCTGGCAGACGGTCACGTCCCCATGTGTTGTCACATGGTCATCTCTCTGTCCATGTCCTACTCTCCTCTACTTGAAAAGACAGCAACCCAGTTGCATTAGGGCCGCCCAGATGAACCTCGCTTGACCTCCTTACCTCTTTAAAGGCCCTGGGGGTAGCATTTCAACACACGACTGTAGGGACGCAAGGCAGCCCCTTTATACCTTCTATTGATTTTTCTTTGCAGGCCGGGAAATTTTTAGTTGAGAAAAACTCTCTCTGCAGATACTGAGAAGATATTCTGCTGAATGGGGAGTATTTTCAATTTCAGTTTGTTCCTATGAAAATGTTTGAATATTTCAACTCAAATGTTTTCACTGATGGTATCTTTTTGTCTCCATCCAGAGGACCTCTCTTCAGCAAGTGTCTTTATAAGGCAAAACCGACCAAGGCAGTGATCTCTATGGTTCCTCTGAGTTACGAGATGGGAGGCCTCTTGAGTCTCTTAATCTAATATAGCAATGAATGTGTCCAATTAAAAATAGTAGCTAAAAAATAGTAACTCCATCAAAAGATTCTTCCCACAGATTAAAATATTCCAAAATGCAATTTTAGAATTTCAAAATTGTGTATTACATAGCTTTTCAGCACTTCTTATTTAACATGTTCAATGCCTCTTTCAGAGGTCTATTTGCAAATTTATTTTTAAAAAATTAATATTAATTTAATAAAACTTTAACAGTGAAAGAGTTGTGGAGCTTCACTCATTGAATACTTGGACAAAATATTTATAATTGATTTAGAATAAAATGCAACCAAAAATGTACAAGAAGACATATAAAAAAGCTTCAATATTATTGTGGAGAAATTTGAATTAATTAAGAAGTAATACTCCAATGATCCAAACATTTCTAAAATCCAACACACAGTAGGCAGCAAACAGTACTGCCAAGTTGCTGTATATTTTCTTGTGCTCAACATCAGCATTGTCAAAACAAATTATAGATCAGTTATTCCATACATATGAAAGTATTTTAAAATTTGACAATTTTTATTTTGAATTATAGAATGTCACGGTTTCTTTTTAATGCATTAACGACTGATTTGTGGACTACAGCCAATCACTAGGACATTCTTGCTCTGTAGGTTTTTTAATTTAGAAAGAATATTGTTTTCAGATAATGTTATATTCCATCAACATTTGAATGCATTATTATCACCACAAATACTATCACCACAAAATAATTAATTTTTAGTGTTGAGCTCCACTGAATTTACAACAGCAGTGACAATAACGCCATCTGTTTCCCCCTGACAGAATGAATCAGCAAAAGGTTGACTTTGCTCTCACGCGCTGGGGGGAAAATTCAATCATTATTAGAATTAAGTTATCTGATATTCTATTTGAAACATCTGTTGACATTGACATAAATTTAGTATCACTCAAGATCTTGTGAATTTGTCCTGCAAATAGAGCTTCACTTTCACACATGTACATACACGCAAACACAGAATAGAAAAAGGTGTGAATTAGGGACCTTCATCATTAGATTTACCTAAATGAAAAATTGTGCTTCACCAAGTGATATAAAAAAGACCTTTGGAAACTAATGTAACATTGAATGTCAACTGTGATTGAAAAAAAATTTTAAAACACCTTCGGCAAGTACCTTTGTTAAATCGTCATCCTTTGGTAAAATCCTCTTAAAATTGTCAGTACTTTTGAAGTAGGTGCTGATGTTTGTTCTGAAGATTTGTGTCTTCCAGTTTTCATGCAGTATCAACCACACCACGGTGGGCAGTAAGTGTCAGCCAACATCTTATGCACGTTTTACATTCACCTCAACTGCCTTGGAAAATGCAAATTCAATACTTAACTTTCCATTATATAGACACTATAATTTTGTTTTTAGCTCATCGCTGGCACCAGCATTGGCTTGCAAAATGAAAAGCGTTGTCAAACAATAAAATAAATAAGTGGTTGTAGATGGATGAATGAACGACAAACCCTGCAGCCAGAGTGTTCAGGCTACCCTCCAGGCTCAAGC